GTTACAGAAGTTTTAGTACAGAAATAATTTTGCGTTTTGTCATTCTGCACAGGACAGACAATGATGGTACCATTAATAAATGTTAGTTAATGTTAAATTTTTATATGCAAAAGTTATTAATTTTTTTCTTACCTATCTGAAAAGATTTGTTATTGAATGTTTGTTCTTTTGAAAAAATATCCAAACAATTATTTTGTCACCATATAAAGTATATAAAATAATGAGAAATTATATTTGACTTCAGTTGGATCATATTCACTCAAAATCAAGTAAAAAACACTTTCAACATATTTTACAACATGTTTTGGTATTGCTTTCACTTGCTTTAAAAACAAATTTCAAACATGTTTCCTTTACAGATTTGTTGTAATGTATTTACAGATTTGCAACAATCCCATTTTGTACAGTTTGTTTACTTTCCGATTCAACTGCTTGTCGTCTGAATTGTGTTTGGTGGATATAAAAATAGAAATGGATTCTTAAATTTCTATTGATACCAAACATGTCAAGGTTCAACTTATAGATCTTAAAAGAAGTTAAAAGATATAGAAAACTGGAAATTCTGTTTGGATTAAGAGGTTAATTGCTTTAAGTTTTTGATTATCACTACTTTTATAGGGTTCTATATGTTGTATTCATGATTAAATGCAGCAAAATAAAGTATTTCAAAGGTAGCAGATGTTTGTAATACTTGGTTTATTTACATAATGACTTTAGTTGCTGGATGTTCGGCCCCTCAGCTGTTGACCTGCAGTAACTGTGGCCCCCGGAGCAGTTTAGTTGAATAGCCCTGACTTAGTCTCTAAATGAGAGGAAGAGTCATGAAACATTGTCTGCTCTCCACAGGCTCCAGTCCCCGCTGTCGTTAACGTGCCGCTCCCCGTCTCTCAGCGAGATGCCTCAGGGCTCTGTGTTCGGGCGAAGACCCACATCTCACAGGAACATCTGCACCAAGGTCCTGCTGGCGGAGGGCAGGGAAACGCCTTTCACCGAACACTGCCGCGGCTACGAAAACACTTACAGGGTGAGTGAGCGGGCTCGGGCTGAGATCATCCCATCAGAAGGTGAAACCAGTTGGACAAGAAAACAGAAATGTTTTACTGTATGTGAGAATAATGAAAGGATTTAAAGGTCTTGTAGGATTTGTAAATCATTTATTCCTCCTTGGGTTTACAAAAAAACTTACACCATGACACTCACCAACCAGTTTTATCAATTCGAACATCACAGTTTTACTAATTTACTCACAATTGATGTCAGTTTTAACTTCTTCTGTGTCTTRTGAGACTAATTTATCTTCATAATTTATACCTAAAACAGCAACTGCATTCGTTTGAATATTTTCCAAATCTGGCCAAAGAAAATGTTTTGAATCAGATGTAGGAGGTGAGCTTAAGGTGGTATTAAGCTTCTSCCACATATTGGTGGCCCSTACGGTTCCATTTTTAATGGTAACTCGTAATATTTTTCTCATGAAAATATCTTCTGTGCACTGTGGAAAAACACTGTTTTTCCTCATGTTGGCAATAGACAAAGTGTTATCATAAGATTTTTTATGGCTGATTGGTGCTCAGAGAATAGCAAAAAACTGCAGATTTTGTCGTTTTCTGTCATTTTTGAAGTAATAAATATGTCTGTAACATTAATTATTGCTGAAAATAAGCTCTTCACGGCTGTTCAAGGTTATGACGTCAGACCTAGATCAAGTCACTTTTTCTCTCTCATTATAGCTGAAAGCTATTTTTAAATCCCTAATCTGCGCTGTGGAAGCCAGTTTATGTTTTATTTGCATGCAT